TGGGTGTGGATGGGAGTTTGTCGAATTCATCAACCACACCCATACCCAACTTTCTCTTGTTAAGTAGCTCATCATTAGATTGGAAGATTCAAACTATTAATATATTTTTACAATTGGATATTCTTAACAATAACAAAATATTAATATTCAATGTTCTATATGCAGCGGCTCCTCTGAGTATTTCAACTATATATTTACGATCTATATACGTATAGCTAATAAAGCTATTTATTTGAATTTTTTTCAAACGACCTCAATGTAGAATTTACCAAAATGAAATTGCTTAGGTGAAACGATCAGAAAAAAATCCAAATAGCTTGCAAATTTTGTAATTCTATTATGTATATGTGATGGCATGTTCGCTTCGTCAAACAATTCGTTTCATTGGTTTCATAAACTAATAATATTCGTAACTTTTTCCTTTTTTGTCAACTACGCACGTATGTTATTATAAAAGAATATGCACACATTCAAAAGAAGCCATTCGAATATTTTAATCAATTCAAGTCAACAAAACGACTGTGATATGAATGGCATTTCGAAGAAGACAAAAAACAAAAGAAATTTATTTTTTAATTTTTTATATAAAGAAAAAATTGAACAAACATATATACAAAAATACTTATTGAATAATTCAAGATGAAAGGAAGAGAAAAAAAACAATAATAAATAGTTTATAGAAAAAGAACTGTACAATTCGCTTCGCCTTTCGAATTAACTTTGTCTTTTCTAACTGATATGCAATGCATGACGTAAATTTTTCTAAATATAATTACAAAATCATATTAATGCAATATTATTTAGTCCTCATCCATAATGCAGGGTAAAAGACTACTAATAGATTTTCAATGTTGAGAAACAATAATGTTTATGACAGATACTTTTAATCAACGTATAGAAAAAACATTTTTGAATATATTTTTGATGGAGACAGCGAAAGGTTTACATCAAAGTTGAGCTATTGATTTTGAGGGTATGGGTGTGGATCGGTGGATAATGTAATCATCTCCCATCCAGCCAAACCCACCTGCCCTCAAGATTGTTCTTTCTGCTCTCCCCTAGCACACCGTGCATTTCTGATACAATACGGAATGTAAGCACTAATGTGAATTTTTAAATCACGTATGACTCTTTCCGTCATATGAAAATCGAAGCAGGTATGATAATTAGTTGTGATGTATAATGATCGATCTGTATGATATAAAGCATACGAAAACACTAAATAGACAAACGTGAGATACCAAAAATATCGCAACATAATTAACAGTTTGACACAGTAGGAGTCGTATATGGAGGAATTCGGTTTGGCTTGATTTTATGATAAGAATGATTGACATTGACAGTATAATTTGTCAAGCTGATCATGGATATTCCTTTTCAATCAATAAAATTCCCTTGTCATTGTTATCGATACAATCAACAGTAGGAGATGTTAACTAATCAAAAGACTTCCTAGAATCGATTGAAATACACCATCTTGTCGAATACGATCTGAAAGGAATATTGAGATGTGCAGAGGTTGAACTTTGCGTCCTTCTATTTCATAGACACCATATGAACAGGCCTCTACGGATTAGGGTATGGACAGTCTATGAATCTGCTCTCGTAGTCATACTGTCTATGCAAACGGTAGCTTCATGCTTAGAGCCAAACTAAGGAAGACGATGCAATAGTAGTTAGATTATGTTTCAAATTATGGGTGTAGGTGTGGGTGTGGATGAGTGTCTACTTTGTCTATTCATTTACACGTTCACATCTACACCAATTCGGTTTTTTTTCAATCACACAATTTCATGAATTATAAAAGGCGCAACTAGGAGGAAGTTTTTAATATTATTAAGAGATTACAACATTCGAAATATAGTTATCCTAATAAGTCAATCTGTCGAGTTTTTTTTTCTATTATAATACCTGAATCACTATCAAATAAAAATTATACTGAAGTTTGACGTTTAATTTTAATAATGAAATTTCTGAAGTGACATATTTATACTGACAAGTTGTCAATGAATAAAAATCTATATATTTTTATCTGTTCACTGTCAATTGAGAATGTCATAGAAGTGCGATATTGACAATTTTATTGAATTAATATATACCATGTTTTTGATGAATATAAAAGAAGAACTAAACAAGGACCTGAAAGCATTACAAAATTTTGTTCATTACTGATTTAATAAACAGTTATATTTTGTAATTGTTTGAAGAATGATCCATGTTGTGCTACTATTAACCAAGAGAAATTGTATTTTTCTAACTTTATTAATCACTTCTGTGTCAGTTCATATTTCACAATCTTTTGTTCAACTGTATAACACTGAAGATAGTTCATCAGTTGAATTGTATGACTGTATCAACTTCAAAAATGATTCAAATGTTATATATTGTCGTCGACCTGGCAAAGTAATTGATTTAAATCGACATCGTCAAACATGTTCTTCATATGGAACAAAGATTGATTATACCACATTACAACGACTAAATATCTCTGTGGATGAAGTTTTACGATGGAGTTCGAGTGTTGAAAAAGCTGATGAATATGCAGCATATCTTTCAAATACTTCAGTTTTTGATGATACTGAAAATCTATCTCTTTGTAATTGTACAAATCTATCTGTCTTCGGTAAATTTTGTGAATATCAGTTATTCTTTGATAGTCAATCTTTTCATGATATCATTGAAACACTATTTGAGATGAGATACAAAGATATTTACAGTAATCAAATCTATGGGAATATTCTCTGTTATATGACATTAACATGTGACTATGGATTACTCTGCTTAGATTGGAGAGATATTTGTAATGGAGCACAAAATTGTATGAATGGACTTGATGAAGAAAACTGCGATTTGTTAGAATTTAATGAATGTGAAGAAGATGAATTTCGTTGTATGAATGGACAATGCATTCCAGATGAATATTGGATGGATGGTAATTTTTGTTTAATTTTTTGAATAATACAATTTCTTTTTCTTTCTATTTTAGGCTGGCTTGAATCATCTCGTGAATGTATGGATCATAGTGATGAAGGTGTTATCGATATGGCAGTATGTTTTTTTGAATTAAGAAATTTTGATTGTGATGAGCGTTTATGTCCACCAACTTATTGGTCTTGCGGTGATGGGCAATGTATTAATTCCTTACAACGTTTTTCTTATCAGACTTTCCTAGACGATTTTTACTACTGTCTCACTTTCAGAGATTGTAATTATGCCTGTGAAGCATGTAATCATCCACATTTATGGACAGTAGAAAATGGTTCATGTTGGAATTTTGACGAACTAAAAAAATCTGAATTGGAATTAGCAGCGATAATAACAGATGATTTTTGTCTCTTACAATTAAAGTGTCGGTTAGCTGAAATTAATGAGAGAGAGAAATGTCATTGTCCATTGGATAAATTGTGTCAATTTAACCACGATGACAATGAAGTTAATCAACGATGTTCACATCCTATACAATATCCACCCTACGGTCTTTATCGTCCTTATCTTTCTACTTACTATACAAAAGGTAGTTTTTTGTTTGAAGAAAAAACGCCATCGATGTATACAGTTAAAGGAAGTATTAAATGTCGTGGTTACCAAGGTATGACGTTAGACAAAGAAATTAACTTAGAATTAGGAACTGGAAATAACTTTGAAGAAGATACTAACTTTTTAATTCACATTGGTGACTATCCAACTGGATTTGAATATTTATTTTGTATGAACCACCATATTTATAAAAATAAATCTGATGATGCACCAAAATTTGATGAGTTATGTTGGAGTGATACAACAAAAACATTCAGCATTAATCAATCCTATAACTTTCACAATGTATGTTCTACTGAACCAACTTGTGTCTCTAGTTATCGTATTAATGATGGTTATGTTAATTGTTACAATTATCAAGATGAAGAACGATATGACTATCGTGAATCATGTACTAATATACGTAAATATCGATTACAGTGCTCATTAAATGAACAACCAACGTGTCTTCCAACAGAACTTATTGGCACATCGGCTCCTGATTGTTATAATCATTACGATGAATTTATATTTGGTTCAGATATACCACTTGAAGGTGGGTCGTGTCTTAAACAAAATGATCATCGATGTCAACTGTTTCGAAATTATATTGAAATGACAACAAAAAACAATACAAAAGAAACAATTCATTTATTTGTTCAATCTTTAAGAGATAATAGTTATAGTAGAGAAATACCTTATCACCGTTATTGTGATAGTTTTTGGGATTTACCAACACGACTCGATGAATCTCCGAAGTATTGCCAACAATGGATTTGTGCAAAAGATCAATATCAATGTCCCAAAACGGGACAATGCATCGATCCTAAGTGGATCTGTGATGGTAACCTTGATTTTTTAATACTGTAGAAAGTAAAATATTCTTTATCTCAAATTTAACCTTTACCAGAAAAACTTTAATGTTTCATTTCAAAATAGTCACACTTTTTAAATCAGTTAGTTTTCTATTAGGATAAAAGTCTTGTTCTATCTCGCCGATAGAAATTGAAAGCCTATTTCGATCTTAAGAATAGTTCTTTAGTTTTATTTTTGCTATTCTGTTTCTTTTAAACTAGGTGTTTGGGATTGCAGTGATGGTAGCGATGAAGAGGGAATTTTTATCATCAATCAACTTTCGCCTCATAATCAAGCAGTTGTTAATCTCAATAGAGTTAAGAGAGCATGTATAAATCTCTATAAAGCTCGACCGTTATCTATGCTTTGCAATTACACACAAGAATATCCTTGCTTGAGAAATATATCAAATTTTAACGATTTGTGGAATTTCACTCTTCATAAACCATGTATTCCTTTATCACAACTTGGCGATGGTATTATACATTGCTATGGAGGAAGAGATGAAAAAACTACAATTGAAAGAAGTGTAGTTGGTGGTATGCTTGGAGATGCATTTTTATGTCAGAAAACTTATGAGACAGTTTTGTATAGACATATATGTAGAAGAATATTTACATGTTCAGATTTCGAAGATGCATATGGTTGTTTATCGAGTAGGGAACAAGTTGTAGCATCAATAGATAGTACTCCTTGTGGTTATGATCCATCTGATGTGTTTTGTTTAAACGGTAGTTGTGCGAAAACAGCACGTTGTAACGGGGAATTCAATTGTGAATATGGCGAAGATGAATATATGTGTGGTCCAAAAGACGATTATACACAAAAATATGGAGTAGATCAACTGCATTATCGCCACTCCAGACAAAGAAATACACAATATAGTTATCAAACTCGTAAAATCGCTAGTTTCCCATTATCATTAAAGTATTTAGTTACAAATACGAATGTTAAACAAAATACACAAGAAAAGTTTTTTTCTCCTGAATCAAAAGTTGAATCATTTAAAAAAATGCAAATAGTTTATAATTGCAATCGTGGTGTGACAATTCAAGCTATAGAAAGCAATCGTCTTTCTTGCTTTTGCCCACCTTCATATTATGGTGAACAGTGTGAATATTATAGTGACCGTCTAACCGTTGTTACACATCTAAATTACACCAATAGTCCTTATTTGAATATTGACGACGAATCAGTGGTTCTTCAAATTTTAGTTTTATTTCTCTTTGAAGATGAAGTTATTGATCACTACAATTTTCGTGTACGTCCAGCAGATGAAATCAATACATATATTAAACATAAATTCTTTCTACTTTACTCACGTTCTGAAAAATATTTAAATCACAAACAAACACGTTATTTTAATCGAACTGATATCATAAATAATCATCCATATTCAATTCGTTTTGAAGCTTATAAATTGATAATTAATCAGACTATGAAATTGATCGGAGCCTGGCAATTTCATAATTACTTCGACTATCTACCATCTGTTCGTTTAGCAAAAGTTTTACGATTTCCAACGAATTATACAATAAATGATCCTTGTCATAGTAATCCATGCAATCAACGATCGATGTGTCAACGTATTTTGAATAAAAACTCAACAACATCATATGTCTGTTTATGTCAATCGCCTTTCTATGGTAAAAAGTGTGCATTAATTGATGACAAGTGTTCAAACTTTTGTGCTCCTCATTCTGTTTGCAAACCAAAATACAATGGAATTCTAACTAGTAATCAACAACCATTTTGCCTATGTCCTTTGAACTATTATGGTTCAAGATGTTTCTTAAAATATACTGCTTGTCAGTTACAACCATGTGCAAATAATGGTAAATGTATTCAAGTCTTTGATCCAGCTGAAGTTAGATCTCGTTACTGCAAGTGTACTGAAAAATTTTATGGTGAAGACTGTGAACATGAGCGCATTTCAGTGCGTATCCAAATGAAATTATCAAATCTAACTATTTTTTCTCCAACTGGTGTTTTAGCATCCGTCGTTCAGTATTTTGATTTTGGACTAGTAAGATCTGATGATATCTATCTTAAACATCAACAACTATCATTGGATCTGCAGCTAAAATGGGAATATAATCATGATCAAATTGTTGCGCCAACATTTGCTTTTTCGAAAATTTATGATAGTAATTATCGACTAACTGGTCCTTTGTTCTATTTGTTGTACATACAACAAAATACAAGAGTTATCAATATAACTATTGAAATGAATGAAGTAAATTACTGTGCGCATGTTTTAACACTGATGAACAAGAATGATATAGATGATTCAGTACCACTTTTCTTTAAATATCACGCATTATGTTATGAGAAATTGGTTCGCACTGGTACCAAATGTTTTCGAGATGATGATTATTTATGTATTTGTGGAGAAAATCATTATCGTGCAGAATGTTTTGGGTATGATCATTCCATAAATCGTTGTGATTATTGTCTATCAGATGGCTATTGTATATTAGGTGATCCTAATAATCGTGTGGATTTTAAATGTCTATGTCCGCGATGTCACCATGGAAAATTTTGTCAATTTTCCAACGAATTATTGAGTTTTACATTGGATTCGTTAATTGTAAAGGATATTCTTTACAATGGAAAATTAGCATCTATTAGTTATATCACTATCACAACACTGGTCTTTTTGGTTGGTTTCTTCAACAATCTCTGTAGTTTTTTAACCTTCATTCGCCCAATACCACGTAAATTTGGCGTTGGTAATTATCTTCTGATTGTTTCTATTCTGAATCAATGTTCTCTTTTATTCCTTTTTCTAAAAATTTTACACATCGTTCTTTACACTAATGGGCTTTTTCTTAATCATAGTGATTTAAATCTTTATTTATGCAAAACAATCTCTTTTCTTCTCTCTGCTTTTACTCGATCAAATTACTGGCTAACAAGTTTAGTGACAATTGAGCGTCTTTGTGCGGTCTTGTTTCTTACATTAGCATTGTTGAAGAATCCAAAATTCGCCTTATCACTCTGTCTGCTTGTCACACTAGTTGTCACTGGAACACATATTCACGAAGCATTTTATTATATAACTATCCTTGATCCATCTTATACAGCAACCAATGTGACTATGTGTGTTACAAATTATCCGGGATCAACTATCGCTACATACAATCGTGTTAATGTTCTTATTCACTATTTCGTTCCATTCCTTATTCAGTTTTTTTCAATTACTATTCTCATCACTCAGACAGCACGTAGTCGTGCGCGCGTAGTTGGTCAAAACAATAGAAATACATTTATGATTACTTTAAAACAGAAATTTCAAATGCATAAAGATCACTATCTTACACCAACTATTATCGTACTCAGTGCTCTACCACAAGCAATTTTTTCATTTAGTTATGCTTGTACTGAACTGACGGAAGGATGGCAAAGATATACGTTGCTAACAACATATTTCTTATCCTATTTACCACAAATATTGGGATTTATTCTCTATGTCTTGCCATCGAAGACATATAAAGAAGAATTTCGAAAAACATTTATTGGAAAGTTACTAATTAAGATATGATTACTTAATTTATTAATTTATGTCGTCTTTATTGCCTATAATATTCTCTTTTTGAATGAATAAAATGCTTATACTTCGCTTAACTAACTTGATAGTAGTTTTTTATTAGTAGCAAAATCGATGTCAACTAAATGAAAAGTACTACAGTATTCAATTATCCAGGAATATTGTTCAGTGTCACTTGTGAAAGTTGATAGACCGCAGAAAGTAATTGAAATTGATTAGTAATTTTTTTAACAAAAGGTTCGAAGAAATCATGAGGGTGTGGGTGTGAATATTTAATCCAGTACTCACCCACATCCTCGACAGTGTACTGCACAACATAGAAGTATTATAAATACACTCATTGTTTAAAGCGTTATTCAAAACGACAAAAAACTATTTACTCTGATACATTAGTTCTTCGATAAAGTTTTATACGTAGTTCTTTAAGTTTGGAAGTGGGTGTGAGTGCCTACTTTTTCTATTCACATCAACACCCACAACCCACCCTCAACCACACCCGTATTATCAATATACAATAGCTGTCAGTATAATAAAATTACAATGATGCTCTTGTCATTTAGTGAGTTTTCTCTCTACAACTAAAAAGGATATAAACTGTTGGCAACTCAGACACAGTCATTTTTTGTTTTTCCAACTAGGGGTGTTACTTTATCTTTAGTTTACTTTATAATAAAAAATAAAGTAATCAACATTTTTATCTTTTTATTATAAAGAACACAGATAGTCTTTATTTGCAAAAATAAAGTTAAAATAAAGAATTAAGATATATTTTTTCATGCACTAAGTACATGTGCAAATACCCTGTTTAACAACAGAATACATTTATTAATGCTCTTTCTTATCATCACCATTAGTTTCGTATGCCTTATCATCAAAAAAAGGATCATACAAGAAATGATGTATACGAAAAATGCTATATCATATTATAGTTAAGTATATAATACGATAATTTTTTGTCAGCTAGTCTGACGAAATAAAAAAGTACGTTTCGATAGAAAAAAATCTTTATTCTTTATTTTCAAGAATAAAGAAAAACTTTATAGTTATTTTATAAAGATAAAGCTTTAGTTTATCTTTAGAAAACAAATATAAAGAAAAAATTCTTTATCTTTAGAAAATAAATATAAAGATTATCTTTATTCTTTATAATATCAAGATAAAGATTTTCGTTACTTTATTCTTTATTATATAGTAAGGATAAAATAAGACCCCTGTTGCCAATATACAATGAAGCTGGCTCTTGCTCTTGTCTTACTTGGCATGTTGCCATTCAGTAATAGTCTTTTATGCGTCACTGATGAGATGTTCAATATGTCTATGAATGGTTTTACCATTCAATTATTTCAACAACAGTTAGACAAACTCAAGATTGGAGAAACCAAGGGTATAGATTTATGTCTCGTCGAACTGTTTCTCGATTATGAAGCAGCAAAGATAAAAGTAGAATTCACTCCAACGTTGGTGCACATGAGTCATCTGGAGGAAGATAAAGTTCAGTTCGATACAATTTTCCGGTTCACGAACAGTGGGAGAACTGAACTCCTCAATTTTCTCGCATATGCTTGCTATACAGACAAGTGCGACAAAGAGTTTTCGTTGACTCACATTCAATGGCTTATCGACGCCCAGTATACGACCTTGCATCACCAAGTTAGCGGAGCACTATTGGGAAACATTTCTGACTCAGGCAAGTAATTCCACAGTCGATTTAAAAAACAACTTAAATTAGTACTGATTTTGGTATCCCTCTCTCAGTATAAAATGTCGTATAATTACAGGGCAGATTATCAGTTAGTGGACTTAATAAGATACTGGGTAAGATACTGAAATGCTTAAACGACATCGAGAATTGAATTCATATCAGCAGTCTTTAAACACAATGTTCGTGTTGAGACTTCTACGCAACTATGTAGAAACCAGAAGTAGAGAGAATTCGAACTCAGAAATCGAAGTAAAAACGTTTTCACTCGAGAAGAAGTTTGTAGTATTTGTTGTCAACAAGCGTGCGAGGAAATCAAAATATTCGAGGAGATTACATCAAAGCAGGTGCTCTTAATGCTATCGATGAGCGAAATGCGACAACATCCCCAAGCTGCCACTACTGTCCACATATATTCAGTATATACTCATCTCAAAGTGATCTATACCGACGTGCACACGTCAATTAGTATCTCAGATGAGTGATGTTTTGGCAAACATGTAAGACTTACACTTTAGGGAGTTATTCGTTGACTGCAAGAAACAATCTTTTGAGTATTATTTACACTAACGTTTAGTGATGTCTTTGATCCCAGCTTTGGTAAATACAAAATAGAGAATTCGAATCTTAATCTTTTAGTTTTGCACCTAATTATTGATTACAAAAAAAGAATAGTCTGTTACTCTTCGAAAATACGTTCTGTGACCGAACTTGTTGAAGATAGAAGTCACCTTGTCTTACAGAAGTATTTCAATATATGATGTCTGTTAATTTAGTCAACTGTTTTGTCGGTGAGTCAACTGCAGAACCATGTGCGACCAAGGTATGCGTTGTATTATTTTTTGACGGGGACAATGAATACGAGCAGAAATGCGGTATTGAAGAAGACGCTGGACAACTTCGTCTTCAAATGATCACCCTTGTCGATCCGTTTAACGATGGCCTGGAACATGACATCATACTGGTATGTCCTTACAACGAATGTAACAGCAAGTCCGCTTTCTCTGCAATCCTCGCTGCACTCGAGAAACACTATGACTTGAATCCAATGCTTATTGCTTTGAATATGGTGGAGAAGTCTAACAAAACAACGACTGTATCAACTGGAACCACAAAACAGGCAACAACGACGATCACAGCTGGAACCACAAAACAGGCAACAACGACGATCACAGCTGGAACCACAAAACAG